GGAGAGAACCCACACATGCACGGAGAGAACATGCAAACTCTACCCAGAAAGGTCCCCAGGCCAGGATTTGAACCGGAGACCTTCTTGCTGAGCGCATCAGCTCTACCAACTGAGCTACCGTGCCGCCCAAAATGATAAAATATTGATAGTCATTCCGGATTGCTTAAGGGCCTTTATCCAAGTATCAACACTGTGTAACACCAGCTGATGTTTGTTCAGTAATGAATATTGACAAACGGTCACAGAGCGCAGTGTTTCACTCAGTATATTATACATTTTATTTGTATAGGCACAGAGTTCTATTCACCAAGTATTTACACATCAATCACACATATAGGCTTAATTGTTTTATTTATTTTTTTACAAATGTTTATATTTTTTGTCCTCGTTTGGTAACCAGGCTATAGATATGTTTACACATATTGTATCTGTATTTCAGAATACACACCAACACGAAAACTGTGKTTTTTTTTCACTTTTTAGTGAAAACTGTGAAAAATTCTGGTGTTAAGTGTTGGCTGAGAATAGAGTTAGTGGACTCCATATTTTTTGTTTTTTCTACAGTTGGAACTAGATGCTTGCATAATTTGTATAAAAGACATTTTAACCAGATGAACATGGTACCTTCAGGGATCTGAAAACTGTACCCAAGGTTGAACCAGAGTTGTGGATGCTGACAATTATCATCTTATCCTGGCAGATTTCTTTTGATTTATCCATGATGTCACATAAAGAAGCAGAGTGTTTGAGGTGTGCCTCAAATTAACATGTTGTCAGCTAACTTTATTAAAAGCTTACAAAGCTTTTCCAGATTGGTCCAAGTTATAGTAGTGTTGATGTACATCAGGGCTGTTCAACTGAAAAGTTCAGGTGGCCACTGTTCCTCAAAACCAACAGCTCAAGGGCCTGGTGATAATATGTAACAGAACAACTATTATCTTTTACTTTTTAAATTGGTTTATTTTCTTGAATTGAATTCTAAACTTGTTGACGGGCCAGATGGAAGTCACCAGTGGACTAGCCCTGTTGTACTTTTTTTTTTAAGTAAAAACTCTTAAAGTTCTCTCATTTTTTGGTCATTTACCAAATAGGAAAGGTTTAGACTGGTTTAATATAAAACAAAATTTAATTCTGTGGCTTTTTATTCAGTATATGTAAACATCAGGTTTTTCTACTTGTCAGGCTCCAGAAGCCGAGTCTGCAAAATGAGAGATTTACCAGCAAAACATTTGCAGACATTTAACTGAACTTCCTCTTACTGCTTCCCTTAAGCGCACATAAATCTATTTTTTAAATGCTGCTTTGTCATGTCTAAGTTACCTATACTTCCTTTTTGTTCACTTTCTCTAAATACACTTAATTTATGTTGTGTAGAGAGACTAAAGCACACATTTAAATGTTTAACTGAAAATTTCTTCCTAATCCCTTTTATTGCCCCATAAAGTGATCCATCAAGACTATGTAAAACTGACAGTACTGGTTTAGAACTTGAAGTAGGACGGCAGGTTGTGTTTAGTGTTTTCTGACACAGAGGTATGGACTGCTGAACGAGTCTCAAAATATCAAAACCTCAAGCACAAATATGATATTAGAGTATCGTGGTATGAAACAAAGTGAAAGAAGATGTAGTTGATTTTATTTAAAAACAAAATACTACCACTGTTACAGCTACTGAAATATTATCATTAATTGCTACAATTTAAAAGTTTTCTTTTCTTTTAAAAAGACATTTTACTTCATTTATACACTGCATAAAGAGATGCAAGTTTCTCCTTTTACTTTCAAAGCTACTTTTGTACAATATAAATATTGTACATTTCTAACTACAGTATGTACTGCTGTACAACATAAAAATAATGTACAAAATACTGTACAATTCTGTTATTTTTTTAAATTTACTTTATAATTTTTTAGATGTTGATGCACAGATAGAAATAATAGTGAGAGGACAATGGTTGGCAGTTTAAGAACAAGTTGGGGGATTTTCCCTCGTCAGCATCTGACCTTTTTATGGCAAATGATACACATGCTCAGTGTCAGTATTTTGTAAAGCACTGTGGTCTACTTCTGGTTTATTGAAATACACAAAGTCTAAACAGTGCTTATATTAATCTACTATCCTGCCTGCAACATTACATGTTGAGGTCATTTTGGTATCACAACATTAAATACTAATAAAACTAAGCACAATTGTTCATAAAAGTCAATAGAAAAGCAGGTGTATGGACCAAGGGTTGAACACTAACCTTACTAGGAATAGCTCTGAATGTATTTGGATACATGGTTCCTGATTTGACACATGCACATCAGTATCTGTAATAACCCTAACCCAATAAGACATTTAAACCATAGAAACACTTTTGAAACCATGATGTGTTAAACGGGGTGTATTGTCTTTTCCAGGCATGTATTCTATAGCACAGTCAAATAACTGTTACCTTCACTTTTTATGAAAATGCTTTATATATCATAAATATATTTGACTTTACATCATAGTCTACCTAAACACCTTGAAACTGGCCTCTGTCTAAGAACTTCCTACCATTTCCGACACTCCCACTTCACATTTTCGCAACAATCTTTCAGTGGAGAGGTGTCACACTCAGATACCAAAGCAGCTTTCTTTGTTTTCCATGGCAGCATATATGAAGCCAACGTCTGGTATTAGTGAAGATAGCAAGTGGGCCTCCCTGGGTGTGTGTTTTTAAATGCATGTGCCCAAGAGGTAGACATAAAAAGTACCATAAATTTACTGTAGTATGTGTTTTGTGTATTTTAGTCGGTGGCTGCATGTCCTCTTAAAATTTACTGCCATCTTTAAATCTTCTCCTGTTTATGGTCTATTGTCTAACATGCACACTAATAATCAATTATATTATATGATTCTGAGCTATTTGGAGGAGGATGATAGGCTCTATTAATATAGAGACTTTCGCAGAATAAATCTCTACAATATGTTTGATCATCTCATACAGACGGGCTGTGAAGTTGGCAGGCAGGCAGCTGATATGAGCAAGTTTATTTTAGTGCTTGAGGTTCTGAATTATTGGCACTTCTTAGGTTTTATATGATTTAACTCTTCAGTAAGCAACTAAAACTAAAGTATAGCACACTTTGTGTAATTATGTACAGGCAACAACACAATATAGGTAATATTTAGGATAATATGCTAACCTTTTGTTCAGAACTCTGAATATATATAGTTTTACACAGCTCTAATACTCTTTGCTATTGCTCATAGTATGGTTTTGGTATATGGGGATGGGCAAAACCCATGTGAGCGGAGGCCTCATAAGTGGGCCCATTACTCTCCCCAAAAGAGACACTGAATTTTTAATCCAACCTTTGCGTCCCTCGAAAGAAGGACACCAGGTTAGAAACACTCAGTGTTCTAAGTTTCTCAGGATCCATAAAAGGTTCTCCAAGAATTCTTTCCCTTTAACTACTCCGGGCCAAGCATTGGCCCAAGTAGTGCAAAGAGGTCTCTAATTCAATGCCACAGGCATCGCACAGACCATTTTCATGGAGTCCCATCACCATTTTATGTCGGTTGAGCAAGTTGTGCCCAGTTAGGACTCCAACCAAAGTACTTAAAGTTTTCCTCGTCAGGGCAAGAAGGGCTCTTCCAAACCTAAGATTCGGACCATTTATCAGTTTTCGTGCCTATCTGCAATCCGTCAGCTCCCTCTAGTGGATTGAGTGTTGACATCTGATCCATGCCTGTAGGACAGTCCTACAGATTGTTGTTTTTAATGCCTATAGCAGGCTCTGGTCCTTTAAAGTGGGCTTGACTACCAACTCTTGCAAGGTGGTCAGCTCTCCCGTTACCTTAGATGCCAGTATGTCCTGGTATCCATTTAATAGTAACACTGTTAACTCTCCCCAGATAGTTGACTGCCTCGGCACACTCCCAAGCCAGTAGTGACGTGAAGTGTGGCCCTTGGAGAGCTTGGCTATCTGTCAGGATGAATATTTCCTTCTACACTGCAGTTCTTTGAGAGATGCCGCACATTGATGGATTGCATATATCTCAGCTTGAGATACCTTTACAAAACCACCTAGTGGGTAACTGTACTCTCTCTCACTGTGGTTGTGCAAAATCAGCACCCCTGCACCTACTGACCCCTTTGTAAGGGATCCATCTGTAAAACAGTAGAAACAATCAGGAGACAGTTCCACCAAAGAGAAATTACTCCAGGCTGACCTATCTTCAATCTCTGTCTTAAAACTTGCATCAAGATTGTATTTTTTGACCATTCTGTCTCCGGGGCCTGCAATTACTGGAACAGCAGCAACTGCCCAGTCCCAGTTCTAGTTTACTGTGAGTCGGATAGGCTTTTCCACCTACATACCACAATGATGCAACCTTACCGCACTGGATGCAGCCTCCCCTAAGATGTGTAAATCCAGTGGAATCTGATCCAGTTCAAGGGCTGCCGTGGGTGTTGTTCTAATGGAACCTGTGATGCTCAGGCAAGCCATTCGTTGCAAATGGGTGAGCATCACTCTTGCCACCCCAACTTGAACCCGCCACACTGAAGCAGCATAGCATAGCATGGCGCGGACTATGGCCATGTAGATCCACCTGATAACCTTTGGGGTAACACCCCAACGACTACCTGCAATTCTACGGCACTGGTGTAGGCACATTGCTGCCTTCTTGCACTTTTCATTTAAATGTCTTTTCCAGTTAAGCTTCCTGTCTAGATAGACACCCAAGAATTTAACTGACTCTGACAGAGAGAGTTCTACACCCTCCAACTTTGGAGGTGAGTAACCTTTCCTTGACTTCTTGTGAGTGAAAAGAACCAATTCTATCTTGTTTGGGTTGACAGAAAGTTCCTGCTCGTGGCACCATCTGGACACTATGTTTAGTCCCCTTTGCATTAGGTTACATACAGTACCCAGGTAGAAGCCTTCTATAAGTATGACCAAGTCATCTGCATATTCTTGTGTATGAAGTCTAGATCTATTCAACTCGGTAGGCTGTCAACAACCTGGAGCCAGCACAGGGGCGAGATTACTCCTCCCTGTGGACAGCTCCGTCTGAGGTTAACAGTTGGTGAGCAGTCCCCCAGAGTTGAAGATGCTTTCCTTGTCTGAAGCATGAAAATGAGCCATTTTGTGGTTGTCTCATCCACACCTTTGCTGACAAGTGTTCTCTCAATAGCTTCTACAGGAACATTATCAAATGCCCCCTGTATGTCCAAAAAGCAGCCAAGTGCATATTGTCCACGTGCCAGACTGCATTCTATTCGCAAAACAACATAATCTAAGGCTGTTTCTGTAGAAAGACCTGCCTGATATTTATGTTGTTTAGGACTTAATGGTGATAGCATTAAGGTGCCATCTCTTGTATGTCTATCTATCAACCTCTCCATTCCCTTCAGCAAGAAAGATGTTAAGCTGATTGCTCATAGTAAGATAGTGGGTGTGGGTTTTGTCCATCTCTGCTATAAATTCCTGTACTTTTGATTATAAAAGCCACTGAACACTCGTAACTTTTTCCCAAGTGGATTTAATGGGGAAAAATGTTTACATTTCTGACCAATTCTGTCTTAACATTAAGAAAAACCTAGTGAAACTTCAACATAATTCCCATGGCTTCAAAAAGACCAGATTTAAGTAAAAAAAAAAAAAGCCTATTTTATTCACTTGAAGCATATATGACTGTAGTAATGTCATGAGTTTGTTTGTCAATAGCTGTGTGTTTTAGTTGGTACCTGTAGGTGTGGAAAAAGAAATGATTGTTGTGAACATCAACTTTAGTCATCATAAAATGTCTTTGTGTCTTTTAGTTACTGCATTATGTTATCAGTTGCATAAATGTTGTGTTCCAGTATACACATAACTGATGATTCCAGTATAAGGATTCTGCACATCAGATTTTTGTGTTTCCCAGTTAATATCTCAGTCTGTCAGTTAGCGTTTGTAAATAAAAAGCTTGAATGATATTGCAAAAGATAGGAAAAATAAGCACCCATCTCGTACTTTGTTCTGCATACTGATGCACTTTTCTCTTTTATTGTACTTTTTTATTTCTACTAGTATTGTTTCTGACGGTCACAACAAGATGCCACTGGGACAGGATTGCCACGCCTGGAAAAAGAAGACCTCAGACGTGAAGGAGAAGTATGACTTCAAAGAGATCCTGGGAACGTAAGTGTTTTTTAATTTTTTTGCCAGCAGCAAATTCCTTCGGTGGTTCACATTTGCATTTTGTACAGGAGTGCAGTTATTTGAATAAAAGGTGCTTTCATAAATTTCAATCATATCTGCTAATGGTTTTTACAGAATAGACAAAAAAAAAAAAAGAAAAATTGTACATTTGACCACATAATTATTATTTAAGTGTTTACAGAAAAACACACTCGTTAATAAGAATTTGTAGCTTTGTAACTAAAAATTGCGTGTGATGCCAAACAAAATGCATCATATATGGTTTTGCTGTATGAAGAAGCAGCTCAAAGCTTCTCTGGTAAATGTTATTTCATAAACCACTCAATTTTTTTTTAACAAGCAGTAGTTTTGCATGTTGGGACGAACAAATGGGCATGAGTGTGAAGTATTTAGTGTTCAGTCCTGGTACTAACGTGCATTCTGACTAATATGATGAGGTTTGATGAAGTCTGGGTGTTCACATGTGGCAGTAAAATCCATCCTAATTCGTTAGATCTTAGCTGATCTACAAGCAAATAAACAGTCTGTGTCACAGTCTGTCAGCTGAGCAACAAACGGGACATGAGCAGGTCTGTAAAATTAATTACATTCTGATAAGCTTCATTTTGAAGCCTAACAGACATAATATGAGAGAAGTAAAAGAGAGTAAAATGATTTGTGATTTCACAGAGCTCAGTATCGGCTCATCTGTGCTGATAAAGACAATTTAAAGCTGTTATCTTCTAAAGTCTAAGCTTCCTGGCAGGCTGCCAGTTGTTTTTTTCACAGCTTCTCWGTGTACACAAGCAGTGTGTATAACATGAAACATTTAGTGAGGAAGCTCAAGCTSTTGTTGTGTGATTGACAGGTTGTAAAGTATTACAATGTTGTGACATCAGATATAATCAGCCCCAGAAACAATCAAACATTTACTTTGCAGAGAAAACTCACTCAGAAAGTGTCCTGGTTGTCGACCTGTCAGTAACATCTCATCTTTTTACATTTGTCCAACAATCCYTTTGGTAAAATTTATTTCTCTAAAAAATATTTTATCTGCTGTACATAAAGTTGGTCAGCAAGAACGTTCATCGAAGTTCAGAGTTCATTATTATAAGTAATTTCTGGGCGCGATATTGTAAAGTAACTGTACTGTAGTATTGCATCCTGAGATGGTTTGACTGACTCTTGAGAAGTTTTCTGATATTACTTTGAAATGTTTTTTTTAAATTTTATTAAGATGGCTTGTTTATTACTCGTGTGCCCAGGTTATGTTTTACACAAATAAGGAGAAGCACAGTTGCAGAGTTTGTTTTGTATTAAACAGTTTTATATTTCTGAGTTTGATTTGCCCTCTTCATCTATCCCACAGCAAACATTCGACAAGCTCTCCTAAACTGCTGAAGCAACTTAAACCCTAGTTTGTTTTCCTTAAAGCTCATGGAAGTTTACAGTGACTGCTATTCTTGTTTTTCTTTTAATAATCCTCAGTGTAGACTTAGGTGTCACGGGACTAGATGTTTATCCAAGGTGTCATACTTTGGTATCTTTTTACACACCCATATCCTTGTTTGTTCAGGATTAAGTCAATCCAAGTGAAATCCTAACCTCGTTTACAGACTCAATGAAAACTTCCCAACCTTTGGGTATTTCACTGGAGTAGTGCTTAAAATAATGTCTGCTAAAAGTTATTTTATTATGACCATAAAAACTCATTGGGGAGCTGCTAATTTGAAGACTGCAACATTTTAAAAAAGACATCATGCAGAAACTTGATTTAAAATGTTTGAAGAGATGTTTATAATATTTAAAGAGTAGTGACAATTGGTTTTTAGCACCAAATTCTTAATGACAAACTATAGATATCAAAGGTTTGTGCAACCTCATAGCTTTTTCTGTTATTTCTGTATTTGTGATTAGTTTATCTCCAGCTTTAAATGTTTAAGTCTTTTTGCTTTGCACCCAAATGAAAGAGCCCAGCTGACATATAAACACATGAAAAAGCCTTCCAGTCCCTTCTAGTTCTCCACCTGCCCTCGGTTTGGGTCTGAGCTCATCTGGGGAGAGTTCACCCGCTCGCTGCATTGAGCTCTGAGCACCACATTCATTTGCCATTGCTGGGTTGTTGTCTTGGTAACAACAGGAGACACTTTCCATAATGGACTCAAACAGTCACTATGGAAACAAAGTTTTTGATTTGCTATTAATAATCCACCACCAGGCTACTTATGTGTGCATTGTGCATGAGATGAGCTCACTTACACAGAAAAAATGCAGAAAAGAATGAAGATTTGCCAATTTTTTTTGAATTGATGTGCTTATATTAGGGTTGGGCATAATCGTATCGTGTGCAATTAATCGTCAGAAAAACATTAATCGATTTATTATCTGGCACTTGACGATTAATACGATTAATGCCACCAGGTAGACTGACTGGGGATTACTCGGGTCAGTTCGCTCGGTGCTACTCTCCATTTCAAATATGACGAACATTGAAATTAAAGTTCTGTTTTTATTTATGTATCAACACAATTTTAAATTTGACGTATAGCCCGAAGTCTGTAATTCTGGCACAATTTGGAACAGATTTTTACGAAGAGCAAATCTTTCCCACTAAATTGGTCATGTGACCAGGACATAAGGGTGTCCAGAGACTCCAGAGGATTAATCGTCAAATTAATCGTTATCGGCTAAATACCCCAATTAATCGTGATTAATTTTTTTGCTAATATTGCCCAACCCTAGCTTATATGTGACCTTTATATTCACTGTCTCTGCCAAATTATCACATTTGCAGCAGACACATCTATTTACCTGTTCAGTGTCAGTTTTAATTTAATTGAATTCTAAATAAAGGTGTACTTAAAAGCATCATATCTATAAGTGATTGCAATTACAAAAACTCATTTGTCATTAGTGCAACATAACAGAAGCCAAATAACACAAGGTCAGCAAATACGTATTAAATTTTATTTTGCTTTAGAGGTCTTTAGGTGTGGCAGTTTGTTTTATATGAAACAATTTATACACAGGCTGTTAAGATGACTTCATGTGGCTCATTTTAAATGAAGACATGAATGGACATGATCAGCCTAAATACAAAAATGGAAAATGAAGAGGCAGAATAAATATGAGTAGGATACCAATGGCATGTATCTGTACTGATAATCCCCAGCTGTAACCATATGTCCTTTTTAATCAAAACAGATGGGGATTAACAGTAGCACTTTGACTGCAATCAACTCAGATTTTCCTCTTCTTTCTCCCCTTTTTAATTTCTGTTTCTATTTAAATCATCCACCGCCCTCCTTCTCTGTCTCTCTTTCTATTTGTGTCCAGCACGACTCGAAACCAATTCCTTTTTCTCTCATAAAACCAGACCCATTTCAGTCTCGTCACCTGCTCTGTGTCCTAGATTCAGTGTTCTCAGTGAAGACCAGGTGTCCCAGTGTACCTTGCTGAACTTTTGCCTTTTTTTAGTTAAAAATAATGTGCTGTTTGCACATGGACAAAGACATATGACTGCAGTTGACCAGTTGTTCCCAAAGTTGGAATTAAGACCACATTGTGGATTGTGAAACTACAAGCTTAGACTCTTGAGATGGGGGGGGGGGGGGGGGGGGGGGGGGGGGTTACTGAAAATATTAAAAAATTGACAGCTAACATGTTATTCTTGCCTCAGCTGTCACAAGAAATAAAAACTTATTTCAGACAGAGGGTTTGATAAGCCTGGACTACAGTTACATTGGTAAAGATTATTTATGACCAAGCATGCCATCCCATGAAAAATACAATTATTTTTAGGCCCTGTTACAAATTCTCAAACCTAAAGTAATATGAAAAATCGAAGTGTTTCCAGGAGTAAAACACTCGTCTTTATTAATAGCAAAAATACAGAATGAAACATTAACACAGAGCTTTATCTATGAAATCATTCAAATCCGAGTTAAACTTTTTTAAGCCTATAATAAACTATTATTGCTCTAAATGCCTTGGTCTGAGTCTCATGAGCTGTATTAGCATCTGCTTCATCCTACAGCAGAAGTTTATCATGTTGTATTACAGTAATGTCTAGTCCTCTTATTGCATTGTTTGGGTTTCTCCTCATTAGATGTTAATCATTGTCATCCTAAAGCCAGGAACTAGTTTATGTTGAAAACATTCCCACACTCAGCTGTGAGATTTCTGTGCAAAACTAGAGGCCACACTAATGAGCCATGTTGACTTTTCTGACTTTGAACTACAAGTTCTCATGCTGCAAGCAAAAAAAAAAAGGGACATTCTTGGTGTATTTCACTGAGAATACAAGGCAAACAGAATTGGAGATGGAGCAGCAAGGGACGAGGCCTGAGAGGAAGAGGAGGGTGAAAGCAGGAGAGTGCGGTGTAATCATCTAAAATCATTAGAGCTGATGGACTGGCAAGCCTGCCTTCATCAAACGCTGACCTACTGGCTCCTGCCCTCTCTGTATTGATCTGGAAAGAGAAGTGTTTGTGTTCATGTGGCTCATTACACATAATGCATTTAGACAACACTTGTTGGCATTTTTTCCTTCCCTGTTGTGTTTTTACGAGCCGTATGTCGACGTTGTCTGTTTTGGTTCTCTCCGTGTGTTTTCTTTTGTTGACCTTTGCCTCCAGTACTCCTGCCTCCCTTCTCACCTCGGTGAATGGACAAAGAGTAGCTATTCATCACACATCTTTGCATTTTCCATAACGGGGAGTGCACGATTTATAAGACAGACAGAACTCTTATTGAAACMCTGCTTTAGAATCTATCCTCTTCATCGCTAGTATCAGATGAAATAAGGAATCGTTAGGATGGAATATAAATGTTRGTGTATGAAGATGAATTCAAACTGTTGTAATCATGAGTTCTGATTTTTTTTTGTTTTACCTATATCCAGATTGGATGAAAATGTTTTTAATAAACAGCTTTTGTTTAGAGTTGGGGACAGTAGTGGTATTCAAAACAGGAAACTGGCTYTATTTGTTCCCTTGTAT